ACATGCCCCTTTGTAAGGTTTTACACCATGCCATTCCTACCTTGTTTCCTCACTTTTTGGTCCACCCATTCCTATACTTTGATTTTTTTAAAAATATTTTTCCACTTGCAGAAGCTATGCTTTGAAGATATGCAACAAGAACAGCACAAATAATCCTAAAGTAATACCTAATGATAATGAACATTACTACAGAATCTACAAATTGCACCAAATATATTGGGATTTTAAGCTACTATTCAAAGCATAAAATACTCCACACTGTATTTGATGATTTTTTAACTTAATTCAATAATAAGGAACTTTTTAACAATGCAGCAAACATTGTAGAAATGTAGTCTCTGCCTCAACCTCGCAGGTTAAATAAGTAATCAACAAACGGAAAATGCCGAATTAGGATTCATACAAAATATTTCAAACTAAATTTCAGAACTTCTCCCATGACCTAATGTTAAATTTCCTGACCAAAATTTTCCTTTGTTTAATAAAAGTAATAAACAAACACTGTTTCACAGCCTCCATATCACTTCTTTAGCTTTCCAATCTGTATTTATTTCCTCAAACATTCCATTGTGTAACATATAAGTTTGATATACAATTCTTACATTATGTAATAAAAAAATCAATAAAATACTTTAATAAAAAACAATATAATTTAACTTTCTAGGGATTAATTTTTTTTCCAGGTTTTCTGCTTTTTCCTTCAATTATTTTACTTCCTTGTTGTTTTCCTCAGCCTTCAGTCTATAAGCATTTGATTTAGCCAACAAAATACAAACTTTTTCTTAGTTTGGCAGCTAAATCTGTAACATTTTTGTTTAATTTCTTGATTGTATCCATCAGATTAATTTTTTTTCACATTTACTTCATGTTTCGCATTAAAGAGCTTTTCTCTTTCTTTGTTTCTCAATCTCCACCATTTTCTTTTTTTCATTCTCAAGGTATTCATTTTTCTTCTTTCTAGCCATTTTGCAGCTTTTAAGCAATCTCTTAGTAACATGATAATATTTTACATTAGAAGCTTCATTTTACACTTCATTATGAACCATCTTCAGTGCTATAAGTTTGTGGCAACTGGAACAGGAAGAAAGTCTCCAACAGTTGCAGGAAAGTCAGCAGCAACTATAGGAAAGTCAACAACAGTGGCAAGAAGTACAAATGGAAAACATTAGTAAACTTAAAAGTGAATTAGATACATTAAAGGATGATCTACTGTCTTTTACACAAGGAGGATACATTAACCATCGACTTAATCAGCCCCAGACAACGGCAAGCCCCTTCCAGACCCCGCAGCTAAACCCTAATGCAGACATCTTCAGTCCTGTTAGAAGTCACATCCTAGATATGAATGTTAGTAATAGGAGTGATCCAGTATGAAGGAAGCCACAGGAATTCGATGGAAAGGCACCGTGGGAAGCATATAGAGCACAATTTGAGCTTCTGGCAGAGATGAATGGATGGACAGAGGAGCAGAAAGCAGTATATCTGGCAACGAGCTTGAAGGGACACCACTGGAAATACTTGGACAGTTGTCAGCAGATGACAGACACAACTATAGAGCACTGGTAGCGGTTCTAGAACTCAGGTATGGAACCCAACATCAGTCAGAAGTCTACAGGGCTAGGTTTAGGACGAGAGTCCGTGCTAAAGGGGAGAGCCTGCAAGAGCTGGCACAGGACTTGGAAAGCATGGCACACAAGGCCTACCCAACTGCACCACCCGATCTCCTCAAGTTGTTGCTGAGGGATCAGTTCGTAGATGCCTTGGACAGTCCACAACTAAGATACAAGTGAAGCAAGCACACCCCTCTACCATGCAGGATGCAATGGCCAGAGCTCTCGAACTTGAATCCTACGTTAAGTCCAGCACAGAGGTGCCAAGGTTGGTACAGTCATCTGGATTCAAGCACTGTAATAAACCTGGGCACAAGAGAGCTCAATGCTGGAAACTTCAACATAGGGGAGATGCCACAGC